CCCCAAAACCCCAAAACCCCAAAACCCCTGATGGTTAAAATTTGGTTGATACAGTTAAACATTATTTAAAGAACTAAATTTATTTCAATATAAAGAATTTTATGGAAACAGGATTTATTCCAACAGATAATAACGAACCAATCAGGTAAGTAAACTTCATGCTGAAGCTTGCTAAGATCATTTGAAAGGAGATTATCTATAAATTCCTCATTTTTCTTGTTAACATGAGAATGATGAAATTATGGTAATGTCAACTGAGATTACTACTTTTCTCTAAAAATATTCAATTTTGTCGTTTTGAATTCCTCATCAATGACTATTGTAGATAAATTTTACATAAAAGGTTTTAAACAAAAATACATCTAATTGGTATTCAAAATTGAAGAATATTCAATAAACAAGCTTATTTTCCTTGTGTTTTAGAGATCTAGACTTTTTGCAAAAGAGATTCTTACCAAAATCAAACAAATCTTGAGCTTTCTTACCCTAAATTATTCCTATGCAAGCTTCTTTTTCAACATTCTTCACTTAATCACTTTCTTGACCCAGTCATCAAGGGACTAAAAACAAGTCTGGTTCTGATTATCTCAAGTCCAATTTAGAGGAAGAGAAAGATCGACCTGGAAGGCCATTGCCAAGTTTGAAAGGAGACTATTCATAGACTACGATTATATCTTTATAAAAGACCCTGCATTCCTAGCACTAAGATTTCCCCGTATTTCAGGCACATAACTTTTAGAGAGTCCGCATCATTTTCCTTCCCAACTGATAAAAGATTTAGTCAGATTAGGACATAAACTTTATGAAAAATATACTATCTGTCTTGACTACCAAGAAGAGATTGATTTGAGGTATTTTTAAAGGATTTTTGAAAGTTTGTATGCCAAAGTAAGTCCTGAGATGATCAAGATAGGACTTCATCATTTGTTCTCAACAGAGGCAACTTAAAGGGTAAGCAAACACTGGATTTTGAGCTACATAATCTATTGGATCTTTTACTGGGACTCTTCTAAGAGCAGATATATCCACTAAAACTTCTTCTTTGAATGAATTTAGAAATCCAAATTACAACTGGATGTGTTTCATACTTAGACATGGTTTTTGGATTATTTGAGACTTTCATAGCAGCTGTTTTGTACTTATAGCATATAGAACTCCTGATAATCCCTATTCATTTGTCAGAACTCTCATCTTCTCAGAATGTTGCCCAATTAAAATTCACACAGAAGATGCTATGATGGTAATGAATATTATGAGAGGTATTTTAAGATCGAATTGAACTACGTCAATACAACGAGGTACTTTTTTGATATTTCAGAAATTGTCTTTGTGATTAGATCTTTAAATTCTAAACTAAAAATGTATTAAAAATAGTTTGTTTTGGCATTCTAATTACAAGATACCAATATAGAGGCTAAATTTGTTTTAAGCAAACCTGGGATTGAGGATATAAAACTGGAGATGAGCACAAAACCGCTTTGGGAAAAATGAGAATTTGAGTTATCAAATAGATCAATTCTCTTTAAGTATGGCAAAAATTGTTAAAAATATCTGTTCAAATTCCACAATCTCTAACGGGGTTTTGGGGTTTTGGGGTTTTGGGGTTTTGGGG